GGGGTGATTTGGCTTCCATATTTGGTATTTATTTATCAAATCATTTGATGTTGTTAGCGCTTCAATTACAACCTTTATGTTATTCATTTGACCTTGTGCATTCTACAGTTGTAGTTATGTGTATCATTCAATGTACATTTCATAAGTAGAATGGTGTTGTCTATTAATGTATTTGTCACCTGTTGTTGTCAATCCTGCCTACATTGGGATGCATACATGTCTGCTACTCAGATCAGTAATTCTCCAACAACTTATGATATCTGTGATTGGCCAAATGAGCAAAGGTCATGACCACTGGATCTGTTAAATTTTAAATGGTATTCCACAACTACAAAGTTATGTTCACAAAAAGTAGTACATGTATATTATCACACAGCCGTTTCACATATTCTTAAATGTGAAATATGGTTTCTGTGGCATAACGCAATGACATTGCGTATATTCATCAATATTGTTATGCATAGTGATACATGTATTTCCCGACATTCAATGTGACTGTTGTCTCTGCTGACAATTTTTAAATGTACAAATTGCAATTACTGATGGTGCATGGAACAGTAGTGTATTTTGCCACACAAATTCTTTTTTTTTTTTTCTGTTCCTTGTTTTGGATTAGGTGACAGGGCTGCAGCAATTTACGCCTTCATAATGGAAAATTAGTGCGCTTCACCAAGCCCTATTGAACACAAGTACTGTTAGCACTTACCAAAATGACATGACACATATTATATAATTTATATTTATAAAGAAAAAACATTAAGATTAACCTTTTCAGCACCAAACTGTCCCACCCAAATTATTCTACAATTGTTTCTTATATTCTTCAATATTTCTCAAAATGAACCCTAATTTTGGAGCCAACAGACAAAATTTGAGTCAATTTTCAGTTTGTACACAAAAAATGTAGCTATTTTGTCCCAATCTTTTGATAGGAGGTGTAGACTAGAAACAAATTTGTGATGAAAATGGGGAACTATTGGTGAAAAGGTTGATAAAAAAAATTGCAAAATACTTCTGAATCATCTTCAATCAAACAAATCTGCATGTATACCACTAAAAACGCGATGAATTTATTGATGGCGTCCTGTCTGGTCGCTGTGACCCATAAGGTCTTTATAAGGATAGGAAAACAAGGGATCAACATATTTTCTTTGACAAACTTGGTATCAATGACAGGATAGCCTGTTCAATCAAACATGTAGTTATGTCATTGATTATGGCAGAGTAAAGCTGCATGTCTAAATGTAAGCACCCTGGGGCAATTCCCAACTCTAAGAAAGCTTACTAGGAATAGGGGGAGTTTGAAACAAGTACAAATGCAAGTAATTTGAGATAAATGCCAACATGTACACTACAGTTAGATATTGAAGTAAGGCAAAAATTGCATGTTTGTGTTAAGATGCACTTCAAAAACTGCAAAAAGTTATGCACGTTGGATATCCTTTTGTCGATCAGTCCGATTGCATCTAGTTTGATCAACAAGTCCCATGTGTAAGAATGTTTTTGTAAAATCCTCCCAATTTGGCTAAATTTCTGTAATAATATTTATTAGACACATAAAATCCTTAGGAAAGGATAAAAAGGGTCTTACAGAAAGAAAATTAAAAACTATATGAAACAAATAAAAAATAAAATAAAAATAAAAAATAAAGCCAATTTGCAACCCATGGAGAAAACAGAATAGAAAACACTCTCTAATTTCAACCTAATACACTGATAGTTGTTGCTGTTTTGTTTCATAGCTGTTTTTTAAGAAGACAGCTAAGGCTGGTGCTAGTGTATAGTCGATGCATTTTTAATCAAGTCTTTGCTTGTGTTAAAAACAAAATGTTTAGGATAGACTATCAATTTTGATTAGAGTTATTCGAATCCAAAATATTTTTTTCTTTTCATTTGCCCAAACTAATCTAAACTGATTTGTGATTTGAGGTAATATTCTCGAGTCTCTGCTGATGTACATACTCACCAACCTTGACTAATGGAAATGCAAGAAATGCTTAATTTGTGTGCTGAATGGGAAACATTTTTCAATAAAACACAATCACTGCATCTTAATGAGTTTTCTTTGTGTATTGTGTTCAGTTTAGTCATTCAGTTCCACTTGGTAATATGGTTTCTTACTTATTAACATTTCTGATTGACATTGGTTATCTGCTGCTATGATTGGGGGGTTTACATCAATTCCATTGCATGATAAGGGGTTTACATCAATTCCATTGTATGATAAGGGGTTTACATCAATTCCATTGCATGATAAGGGGTTTACATCAATTCCATTGTATGATAAGGGGTTT